GATTGGTACGGGTGCGATCGCAGAGTTCCAGAATGGCTTCTTGGGATTTCCCAGATTTCTCAATGCCCCACACGTGCTGCTCGTCCTGGGCTCCCCTGGGCAGCCCGAGGCCGCCGGCGCCACGCTCGGCACGGCAACTGGCCGGGCCATGCCGGAGCTGCTCGACACGTACCTCCTACCCTGACACGTCGATTAAGGAATTGGCCGTCTTCGGTTCGCGAGAGGGCGTCGCGGCCGTCACTTTTGCGGGTCCAGGTCCGTCGGCTTCGGTCCCAGGCCGTCTTCACCAAAGGGAGGTTTACGAAAGGGAGGTTTGTCCACCGCCGAAGTGTGTGTGTGTGTGTGCGTGTGTGTGTGTGTGTGTGTGTCGTGCGCTTGTCCGACGGGCGGCTAGCACGCCGGGGCCCCAGGAATCCACAGGTCTCGCAGCGAGCACTGGGTGGCCCACCCTCGGACCCAGCGGCCCCAGGGGGCCCTCCTCCCTCAGTGCCAGGAAGCCGGGTGCACATGGCGCGGCCGGCCTGGATGGTCCTCCTCCTCCTCCTCCTCCTCCTCGTCCTCCTCCTCCTCCTCCTCCTCCTCCTCCTCCTCCCGGGTGCATATGTGCCCAGACGTAGTTCCAGCGCTCGGCCCTTGAAAGTGTGGCCGCGCCGGCGGGGCTTCCGCAAGTGCACCCAGCACGTGGGCTTCAGGTGTTCCACATGTGAAGCCAGCCACGTGCATTTCCAGTCTCCTGGTGCACCGCTTTGCTCATGGCTCTGGCAGTGCCAGTGCCAGGAGTCACGTTTCGGGGTGTCGCCAGCTCCTCCTCAAGATCGACATTCGGAGATCTAGGCGGCTTCTGGCATATCTCGGGCGGGTTGGGAGGTCCTGGAAGGTGTTCAGGATCCTGAGGGCCCCCCCCCTCCTCCAGGAGGTGGTGGACCCCCCCCAGCGGAGCCCCCCCCCCTGGGCACATCCTGGATGGCGAGGCGATCCGCATCGTGCCCAGCACCGCGGCACAAACTGCGGCCCCCGAGGCTGCCGTGTTGGCCGCGACCGCCGTGAGCCAAAGGGTCTCGAGGATCGTCGGAATGGGGGCCAATCGAAACAGCGGCGGCCCTCCCCGGGGCCAGTGGGCCCACGGGTGGGCCCAGAGGAAGCAACCAGGGGTCACATGCCTCGCGGCCATCCAGTCGCCAGCAGCGTCCCTCGGCCACGGGGTCCCGAATCATCTCCCCCGCGCAGGGGGGAGGGGCGAGGCGGAGGGGGCAGGAGCCGTGTCCTCCCTTGCCGTCGTCCTCCTCCCTCCCCTCCCCACGTCCTCCCCCATCCCTCCCCTCCTGCGCCTGCTCGTCCTTCTCCTTTCGCTCCGCCTCTGCGCTCGTCTCTCGGCGAGAGAGAGAGAGAGAGAGGTGCAGGGGCGGACCCCGTCCTTTCTCCTCCTCCTCCTCCTCCTCGTCCTCCTCCTCCTCCTCCTCCTCCTCGTCCTCCTCCTCCCACATCCTCCTTGCTCGTCCCAGCATCTCACCGTCGCTATCGTCTATCACTTTGCGCCTTTGAAATTCCTCTTCGCTCCTCGTACCGCTCCCCGCCCCCCTCAGCCCCTCTCCTCCTCCTGCTTCTCCCCTCCTGCTTCTCCTCCTCCTCCTCGTCCTCCTCCTCCTCGTCGTCGTCCTCCTCCTCCTCCTTCTCCTCCTCCTCCTCCTCCTCTTCCTCGTCCTCCTCCTCCTGCGCGGCCGTCTGTTCGCGAGCCACCCCTATCCGAGCAGCCTCGCCCGTGACTGCCGCCTCGCCACAAGCGTAGGGCGCAGAGCCACCCCTCCCCCCAGCCGCCCCCCCCAGCGCGCACTGGCCCCTGCCTCGCGCGCCACGATGATGATGGTGTCCCCGCGCAAGACCAAGACGGCCGGGAGCGACATGCCAGGCGTCAGCATGGTGGAGAGCATGGCGTCCGGCACGAGCCAAAGAGTTCGAGGGCCGTCGGAGGGGGGACCGGTCAAGACGGCGGCGGCCCGCCCCAGCAGTCCCCTCGCCGTTCCGCCGGCCCTCCCGATATGGCCTCCGCTCGCCACGGCCTCGAGAGAAGTGGGGTCCGGAGGGGCCCCTGGAGGGGGTCTGGGGATGGATTAGGAGCGAATTGGGGCTGGGCCTACGTCGGGCCTGTTCCTCTACAGGAGGAACGTTCAGAAATAGGAGGAAGTAGTCAGGGACAAGTTTTGGACCATGTAGAATCCTTCGTGAGCATTTTGCTTTGGCTATTTTTTCAATTCTTATTTCACCATCCGCCTGTGGGAGGACGTGCCCGACCGAAGGCTGGGCGGGAGGCCCGCCGTTGTCTCAACTGGCACTCCTCCGAGGCCGGGGCTCGAGGACCGAGCTCGGTCGGCGTTCGTCGCGCGCTTCCGGGGGCCGCCTCTCTTTGTTCCCATCCTCGGGGGCCTCTGGCCAAGACGGCCGAGGACGAGACTTATGATGTCCCAACCTACTTTCGCACAGGGGCAGACCAGAAATAATTTCGAGCACCAGAACAAAGGACGGAAACTCTAGGGTTTGGGGCGTGTTGGGCCCTGGGAGACACTCGTCCGACACTGTTTCGACACTTTTCGGTGTGCTCGAAATCGTTTCTGGGATGTGGTCCTAAGGTACGATGGGAGCAACACATGACGGGACGCTGGCTTTCGGGGGGGGAGCCCCGCGGCATCCCAGGGATCCTTTTCGCTCGGGGCCTCGATTGGGCTCGTGGCTCAGGCAGTGCCAAGGGTGGTCCAAGGACCGACCACGATGCTGTTTGGCTCGGTTTGGGCCTCTGTTTTATGGTTCGTTTCGTACATCGCGTTCGTTTCGTTGCGTTTTGCGTTTGTGTGTTAAGCGCATCGTTTCGTTGTTCGTGTCGTTTGGCACTGGTTTCGTTCCAAACGTTCGGTTTCAGCGTTGGGACTCGGTTCGTTTTTCATTGTGAGCGCAATTTCGTTTAAACGTCGTTGTGGTCGGTCCTTGGGGGGGGCACATGTCGCATCTTTGGGGTCGCCTTCTCCTGAGGATCGACGTTCGAGGATCCAGGAGGCTTCTGGAAGATCTTGGGCGCGTGGGGATGTCCTGGAAGGTTGTCAGGATCCTGAGGGCCCCGTCCCCCTCCTCAAGCAGGGGGTGGAATCTTCCAGCGGTGCCCCATCCCAGCATACGGCAGGCACATCGACTCAGATATGTCACCTCGCTGTTTGCTCAAACGCGCCGCCTTACGTCTTGGGGGGAGGGCGCCTCGGCCACCAGGGCAAACTCCGCCTCGGATGCAGGGTTTGCCGTGGGCTTTTTCGCGGTGCCGGCTGCGTGTACCTGGGACGCGGGACGAATGGCTTGCCGTTGGTTTGCTGTGGTGTCGGCGTCGTCCATGTGGGCGCGTCGAGAGCAAACGGCGCGGCGACACATCAGATATCGGCCCACCCACTGCAATCTCTTATTCCCCCTGGTTGGCCCCAGGTACCCACGGAAGCTCTGGTGCACCCCGGGACCTTCAGAGATCGATGACGCGCGTGCCCATCGTGTGCGCATCGTGTGTGCATCGTGTCTATTGTAGCCTGGATGGCGAGGCGATCCGCATCATGCCCAGTGCCGCGGCCAACTCTGCGGCCCCGATGGCGCAGGCCGCGGCGTCTGAGCGGACCGTCTTCCGGGACGCGTGCTCGAAGGAGGCGACCCTGAGGTGGCAGGAGGCCACGCAACAGCGGCGCGCCCAGAGGTGCCTGATGTCCGTCTATCCACTTGCGCTGCCGCGCGATTCCGCCGCCGCGGTCTCGCGGGCGTCTGGGGAAGGAAGGTCCAGGTGCTCGTCCTGGAGAGTCTTCGGCGCTATGGCTGGGTCCTCCAAGAGTTTCTAGCCAGTATCATGCCCCAGGAGGTCCGGCGAGTGGCGGCATCGGTACAGTCAACCCGCACAGTAAGGACGGGCGACTCTCCAAGGCTACCCTTGCATCCTGACCCTTCGGCCCATCCTCAGCGACTTTCCCTGGCCAGCCTCGTTCGAAAAACGTGAACATGGCCCTCCAAGGCCCCTGCAGCCTTACCGCGCATGGAGGAGGCCAGGCAGGCCTGATGTTCTTCTTCATGCCTTCAGACATGCGAGGTAGCTCCGAAGCCGTTCGTTCATGTACGGTAGGTTCGCGTCGTGTCGACCGGCGGCGACCCTGCCGCCGGCGATCAACGTTGAATGCCGGCGGCGGCCCAGAATCGGTCGATGTTGAACGATCGGACGTTGCGGAAGCGGCCGATCGTTCAAGGTTGAACGATCTTTGCGGTGTCAGGAACAAACGCCGGGGTCGATACGACACGGACCTGGTGCATTTGCCAATCCTTCCCCGCGCGCGCCGCCGAAGGTGATGGATTGGAAGTCCTCCTTGCACACTGCCCTCGCCGCCGGGAAAGGGCTGACCTCAACGCAGCCTTCTGGCAACCCAGCGTGTCCGCCACGCCCGCGGCGGCCATTCGGCACCTGCGGACACGACGCTGGAATAGCCAGGGGGACGCGATCTATGCATATCCACTGCTCTCTGGCCACGCCCATCCTGAAACCAGCAGTTGTTTACACGCCCTCCTGGCCAAGCCAGGAGGGCGTGGCGTATGCACCGCTGCCGGGTTCAGGATGGGCGTGGCCAAGGAGCAGTGGCTGCAGTTCTCCAGCGCAGTACATTTGCAATACCATTGCCCCACATCTGTTGCACCACCCCCTTTCAGCTGGACCCCTTTTTTGGTCACCCGGAAGATCTCCTGGGACGGGGCTTTCCGGAGGGGAGCCTCGGGGGGGGCAGGTGCCAAGGTACCCCTTGCCTCAAGCTTCGATGTGGGTGCTGCTCTGGTTTGGATGGAGATGCCAGTGCAGGGACCCTCGCCAACCAAAAGCACACCAGAACGGGTAGATGCGTCCAAGGGGGGGCAGAAGCGAACCTCCCCAAAGCGAGACCGACACAGACAGACCAGTCGCTCCAAACGCGGCGGCGGATGTCTCTGTGCTGGTCTGCGTGGCCATGCTGGTGGCGGTGTCGATCACTGCTGTGTGGGTGCCCTCGGCCGTGTTGGCAAACGACGAGCTCGTTCAGGCGAGCAGGGGCCAATTGCAGTCTTCGGTGGAGCAGGTGTCGAAGGAGTTGCTGGGCTACTTCCAGGTAGCATCGACGCATGCTGCGGTCATCGGAACCATGTACAACATGTCTTTCGCGGCAGCACCAGCAACAGCCCCGATGTACTTCATGGACGGTTTCGGAGCTGGGACATGGTCGCTGCTCAAGCAGGCCCCGACCCTTCAGTCGGTGCTGCTGGCACAGGCGCGCAACGAGTCTCTTCTGAGCTCCACTACCCAGCCCTGCAACACAGACGTCGCTCTCATATCTGCCACCTACAAGGCCAACCTGAATTCCGAGACAACTGGTACTGGATGGGCTGGCAACGAGTCGCTATTGAAGCTCGAAGCCACTGACGAAGCCCCGGCAGACGAGGCCAGAATGAATCTCATCATGGGCGATGACAACCTCGCAGATCCTTTGGAGTTCAAAGGGACGTTGTTCTTCAGGGACTGCAGCGACTGGCTTGGCGGCGGTGAGAACCTCTGGAGGATGCAGAACCTGCCGGGCAGTTGGTCGTCGAGGGACTCTGGCGTCAGGGAGGCGGTGTGGCTCCCGGGCACGGTGATCGCAGGCTCGGGCAGCAACCAGGCTCTGTACAAGAAGGTCTTCTTCCCGCTGGAGGGCCCGCCCTGGGCGAACAAGAGCGCTTTCGGCGCGATCTCCGTCCGGGTCGGCGCTGGCGTCCTCACCGGCGACTCCGCTTCGACGGTCAGCGTGCAGGACATCCTGCAGCAGGTGGCCGAACAGACGGAGGGGGATACGCTCCTATTCGTGCTCACCGCGGAGGGCGAGGTGCTGGCGACCTCCTCGGGGGACCAGCAGGTAGCCGAAGATGAAACAAATCCATAAGCATAACTGTTCAAAGGCCCCCGTAGATTTCTTTGATCGGCAGTGGACCCCCCCACTCTGGCGTTGGCGCCGCCAAGGGGGTCCTGCGCCGATCCAAGAAAGCTCCGAGGACCTCGGAAAGTTTATGTTTATGCCGCTCTTTGCCTGTCAGGTAGAGCTGCGGGACGCGGCGGGCGCGCTCGAGGGGCTGCTGCGGGGGGACTCTGACGATGTGCTGGACCCGTTCCGGCCGGTGGTGAGGGCGCTGCTCGCGAGCCATTGTAGCGTCGACGCTGTCGGAGACGGAATGCGATGCGACTGGTCCGGCGTGCCTCCGATGCAGGAGATCTCCGGGTACTACGTGGCAGCCAAGTTCATATCCGACCCTCAGGCCTTAGATGTTTTGAAAAACGCTGAGGGCATGTTTCCCCGAACAGCTGTGCTGACTGGGGTGCTGTTGTGATAGAAGCTGGTTCTGGCCCAGGGACCCCCTCACCGAGACGTCCTCACACAAATGAGGCGGTTGAGGCCAATTCGCCTGAGAAATCCTCTCAACTCTCGCTTCTGAGTTGACTGGGATTGGGCATTTCGCTTGACATATTCTCGACACTCAAAGTTCCGAGATGCTGTGCTCGAGGTGGTCCAGAAGGTGAATTTCCAGGAGGATCACGTAGACGACGATGACGACGGACACAGGATCTACCCTGACTCTAAAAACCGCTGCTCGGGTGCACTGGATTCTTGCTCTACTATGTTGTCCATTTTTGATGATCTAGGTTTGTCCTCAAGCAGCCGAGCAGCTTGGGGTGCAGTCGAGATGTAGGCTAGTTCCGCCCGATGGGCCGCCCCGCAGACTGGCATCCTCAAAAAATATCCTGGCGAAGGACCGAGCCATATGCAAGTGCGAGCCCCCCCCCCAAAACAAATTCCAATTACCCTGGCGACGTACCCACCCCCTGCGCAAACGCGGGGCGCAAATAGTTTAGGACACTTTACAAGGAGGGCGATGACGGAGCGAGGGTTACATATGTCTGCAGACGGAATTCGGGAGACTCGCGCGACACTGGCTACAGGACAAGGACTAGATAAAGCTGATTAGTTACAATCCCTGCACAACCCTAGCCACTTCGAAAGCGGGGATCTCAGATCGCAGCCCCCCAGGGATGGCGAGGTCTAATTTGGGTCCGCGCGTGGCGTCACTGTGCTGGGCCCCCCCAGCAGGCCTCGAAAGTGGCGACAGTTTCACAGATCGCAGCCCCACAGGGATGGCGAGGTCTAATTTGGGTCCGCGCGTGGCCTCACTGTGCTGGGCCCCCCAGCAGGCCTCGAAAGTGGCGACAGTTTCACAGATCGCAGCCCCCCAGGGATGGCGAGGTCTAATTTGGTCCGCCGTGGCGTCACTGTGCTGGGCCCCCCAGCAGGCCTCGAAAGTGGCGACAGTTTCACAGATCGCAGCCCCCCCAGGGATGGCGAGGATCGCACTGTGCTGGGCCCCCCAGCAGGCCTCGAAAAGGACAGTTTCATCGCAGCGAGGTCTAATTTGGGTCCGCGCGTGGCGTCACTGTGCTGGCCCCCCCCAGCAGGCCTCGAAAGTGGCGACAGTTTCACAGATCGCAGCCCCCCAGGGATGGCGAGGTCTAATTTGGGCCCGCCCGTGGCGTCACTGTGCTGGGCCCCCCAGCAGGCCTCGAAAGTGGCGACAGTTTCACAGATCGCAGCCCCCCAGGGATGGCGAGGTCTAATTTGGGTCCGCCCGTGGCGTCACTGTGCTGGGTCCCCCAGCAGGCTTCGAAAATGGCGACGGTTTCACAGATCGCAGCCCCCCAGGGATGGCGAGGTCTAATTTGGGCCCGCCGTGGCGTCACTGTGCTGGGCCGCCCCAGCAGGCGTCGAAATGGCGACAGTTTCACAGATCGCAGCCCCCCAGGGATGGCGAGGTCTAATTTGGGTCCGCCCGTGGCGTCACTGTGCTGGGCCCCCCAGCAGGCCTCGAACGTGGCGACAGTTTCACAGATCGCAGCCCCCCAGGGATGGCAAGGTCTAATTTCGGTCCGCGCATGGCGTCACTGTGCTGGCCCCCCCAGCAGGCTTCGAAAGTGGCGACAGTTTCGCAGATCGCAGCCCCCCAGGGATGGCGAGGTCTAATTTGGGTCCGCGCGTGGCGTCGCTGTGCTGGGCCCCCCAGGAGGCCTCGACAGTGGCGACAGTTTCACAGATCGCAGCCCCTCCCAGGGATGGCGAGGTCTAATTTGGGTCCGCGCGTGGCGTCACTGTGCTGGGCCCCCCAGCAGGCCTCGAAAGTGGCGACAGTTTCACAGATCGCACCCCCCCGCATGCAAAACAGGAGGAGGCAAGAGGGAGGCGGGACGGGAAGGAGGAAGTGGAGACCACACTGGTTTATTCAAAACGAACACCCAGGCAAGGAGGGTTGGGAAAAACCCTCGTTACGAACCTGGAACCTTCGACAAAAAACCTTTCAAAAACCCTCGTCACGAAGAACCCATGATTCTTGGAACCTTCCAAACAACCTTCCAACAACCGTCATCAGGAAGAGCCCAGGATTCCTGGAACCTTCCAAAACAAAGTACCTTCCAAAAGCCCTCGTCAAGAATACTCTAGGACTCCTGGAACGTTCCAAACAGAACCTTCCCAAAACCCTCGTCGCGAAGAATCCCGGATTCCAGGAACCTTCCAAAAACCACCCTCAAACCTTCGTCGCGAAGAATCCAGGATTCCTGGAACCTTCCCAATACCCTTCCAAACACGTTTATCGCGAAACACCCCGGAGTCCTGGAACTTTCCAACACACCTCCCAAAAACCTTCGCCACGAAGAACCCAGGACTCCTGGAACCTTTAAAACAACCTTCCAAACACCCTCGTCGCGAAGAATCCAGGCTTCCTGGAACCTTCCAGAAAACCTGCCGAAAACCATCGTCACGAAGAATCAAGGGTTCCTGGGACCGTCCAAAAAATCTTCCCAAAACCATCGCCACGAAGAATACAGGATTCCTGGAACCTTCAAAAAAAACTTCCAAAAACCCTAGTCGCAAAGAACACAGGGTTCCTGGAACCTTCTTTCAAACAGAAGCGCTTCCCAAAAACCCACGTCACGAAGAATCCAGGATTCCAGGAACCTTTTAACAACAAAACCTTCCAAACATTTTCTTCGCGAAGAAACCAGGATTTCTGGGGCCTTCCAGTTTTTGGAAGGTTTTTTTGCTTGAAGGTTGTTGGAAGGTATTTGGAAGGTTTTTTCCCAACCATCCTGAGGTGTTGGGTCCTCGTTTTGAAGAGACGGTGCCCCGCGTTCCTCCTTTCTTCCTCCTCCTTCCTCCCCCTCCCCCTCCTTGCTTTTGCCCTCGGCACACCTCTCACATGTTTCGTAGCCCTGTAGGGAGCTCCACCGAAGGCCCCAGTGTGGGTGTCCGCGTGCGTTTCCCCCAGCCAGGGCAGCGTTTCGTGGCCCCATAGGGAGCTCCACCGAAGGCCCCAGTTGGGGTGTCCGCGTGCGGTTCTCCCACCCAGGGCAGCGTTTCGTGGCCCCATAGGGAGCTCCACCGAAGGGCTCAGTGGGGGTGTCCGCATGCGGTTTCCCCACCCAGGGTAGCGTTTCGTGGCCCCATAGGGAGCTCCACCGAAGGCACCAGTGGGGGTGTCCGCATGCGGTTCCCTCACCCAGGGCACCGTTTCGTGGCTCCATAGGGAGCTCCACCGAAGGCCCCAGTGGGGCTGTCCGCATGCGGTTCCCCCAGCCAGGGCAGCGCTTCGTGGCCCCATGGGGAGCTCCACCGAAGGCCCCAACGGGGGTGTCCGCATGCGGTTCCCCCACCCAGGGCAGCGTTTCGTAGCCCCATAGGGAGCTCCACCGAAGGCCCCAGTGGGGGTGTCCACATGCGGTTCCACCACCCAGGGCAGCGTTTCGTGGCCCCATAGGGAGCTCTACCGAAGACACCAGTGGGGGGGGGGTCCGCATGCGGTTCCCCCACCCAGGGCAACGTTTCGTGGCCCCATAGGGAGCTCCACCGAAGGCCCCAGTGGGGCTGCCCGCATGCGTTTTTTTTTTTTTTTTTTTTTTTTTTCACCCATGGCAGCGCTTCGTGGCCCCATGGGGGGCTCCACCGAAGGCCCCAAGGGGGCTGTCCGCATGCGGTTCCCCCACACCAGGCAGCGTTTCGTGGCGCTATAGGGAGCTCCACCGAAGGCTCCAGTGGGGGTGTCCGCATGCGGTTCCCTCACCCAGGGCAGCGTTTCGTGGCGCTATAGGGAGCTCCACCGAGGGCTCCAGTGGGGGTGTCCGCATGCGGTTCCCCCACCCAGGGCTGCGTTCCGTGGTCTCATAGGGAGTTCCACCGAAGGCTCCAGTGGGGCTGTCCGCATGCGGTTCCCCCACCCAGGGCAGCGTTTCGTGGCCCCATAGGGAGCTCCACCGAAGGCCCCAGTGGGGCTGTCCGCATGCGGTTCCCCCAGCCAGGGCAGCGTTTCGTGGCCCCATAGGGAGCTCCACCGAAGGCCCCAGTGGTGGTGTCCGCATGCGGTTCCCCCACCCAGGGCAGCGCTCCGTGGCCCCATGGGGAGCTCCACCGAATGCCCCAGTGGGGGTGTCCGCATGCGGTTCCCCCACCCAAGGGCAACGTTTTGTGGCCCCATAGGCCACCGAAGGCCCCAGTGGGGCTGCCCGCATGCGGTTCCCCCACCCAGGGCAGCGTTTCGTAGCCCCATAGGGAGCTCCACCGAAGGCCCCAGTGGGGGTGTTCGCATGCGTCTCCCCTACCCAGAGGTAGCGCCACCGAAAACGATATTCATATTTGCGGTATTCAGAACTGCATATGGTTGGGCCCTCGCCAGGCTAATTGTGGAAGTTTTTTTTTTTTTTTTTTTTTTTTTTTTTTTTTTTTTTTTTTTTTTTTTTTTTTTTTTTTTTTTTTTTTTTTTTTTCTTTTCTCCAAACCATCCTGTGGTGTTGGGTCATCGTTTTGAACAAACAGCGCCCGCGTCCATCCTTTCTCCCACTGCCCCCCTCTCCCCATCATCAGCATCGCCGTCACCGTCGTCATCGTCATACTCATCATCACCATCATCATCAGTTCGGCATACCCCTCACACGGTTCGTGGCCCCATAGGGAGCTCCACCGAAGGCCCCAGGGGCTGCGTCCTCATGTGTCACCGCCACCCATTACGGGACACCCCTCACACGGTTCGTGGCCCCATAGGGAACTCCACCGAAGGCCTCAATGGCTGCGCCATCGTGCGTCACCGCCACCCAATTCGGCACACCCCTCACGCGGTTCGTGGCCCCATAGGGGGCTCCCCCGAACGCCCCTGTGGTTGCGTCCTCATGCGTCACCGCCACCCATTACGGGACACCCCTCACACGGTTCGTGGCCCCATAGGGAGCTTCACCGAAGGCCCCAGTGGCTGCGTCCGCATGCGTCACCGCCACGCAAGACAGCGCTTCACGGCCCCATATGGAGCTCCACCGAAGTCTCCAGTGGCAGTGCCCGCATGCGTCACCGCCACCCATGACAGCGCTTAATGGCCCATGAGGGAACTCCACCGCAGTCTCCAGTGTCAGGGTCCGCATGCGTCACCGCCACCCATTACGGGACACACCTCACACGGGTCGTGGCCCCATAGGGAGCTTCACCGAATGCTCCAGTTGCAGTGTTCGCATGCGTCACCGCCACACAGGACAGCGTTTCGTGGCCCTATAAAGAGCTCCACCGAAGGCTCCAGTGGCAGTGTCCGCATGCGTCACCGACACACAGGACAGCGTTTCGTGGCCCCATGGGGAGCTCCACCGAAGGCTCCAGTGGCTGTATCCGCGTGCGTCACCGCCACAGAGGACAGCGCTTCGTGGCCCCATAGGGAGCTCCACCGAAGGCTCCAGTGGCAGTGTCCGCATGCGTCACCGCCACCCAGGACAGCGCTTCGTGGCCCCATAGGCAGCTCCACTGAAGGCTCCAGTGGCAGGGCCCGCATACGTCCGCGCCACCGACTTCGGCGCACCCCTCGCACGCTTCGGTTCCCCTTTAGGGGGTTCCACCGAAAACGGTACCCACAATGCGGCTCTCGCAGCTACATATGGTTGGGTCCTTCGTCAGGCTGATTATTTTGGAAGGGTATTGGAAGGTTTTTGTATATTTTTTGGTTGGAGCGTTTTTGTAAGGTTTTTGGAATGTATTGGGTGGTTTCGCTAGATTTTATAAGGTTTTTGTTATTTTTCCCTACCTAGGCTCTGCCTAGAAGGGTTCTTACTCTCTTAGCTTAAAGGGGCCGGGCAGTGTAAAGCGCCCCGGGCGGTTCCCCCAGTCCCCGCCCCGCGGTTCCCCCCAGTCCCCTGGGAACTTTAGCTTTAGCTTTAGCTTTAGCTTTAGCTTAGCATTAGCTTAGCTTTAGCTTAGTTTCAGCTTAGCTGTAGCTTAGCTTTAGCTTAGCTTTAGCTTAGCTTTAGCTTAGCTTTAGCTTAGCTTTAGCTTAGCTTTAGCTTAGCTTTAGCTTAGCTTTAGCTTAACTGTAGCTTAGCTTGAGCTTAGCTTTAGCTTGGCTTTAGCTTCGCTTCAGCTTCGCCTTAGCTTAGCTTTAGCTTAGCTTTAGCTTAGCTTTAGCTTAGCTTTAGCTTAGCTTTAGCTTAGCTTTAGCTTAGCTGTAGCTTAGCTTAGCTTTAGCTTAGCTTTAGCTTAGCTTTAGCTTTGCTTTAGCTGTAGCTTAGCTTCAGCTTAGCTGCAGCTTAGCTGCAGCTTAGCTTTAGCTTAGCTTCAGCTTAGCTTCAGCTTAGCTTCAGCTTAGCTTTAGCTTAGCTTCAGCTTAGCTTTAGCTTAGCTTGAGTTTAGCTTTAGCTTAGCTTTGGCTTAGCTTTAGTTTAGCTTTAGCTCAGCTTTAGCTTAGGTTTAGCTTAGCTTCAGCTTAGCTTTAGCTTAGCTTCAACTTAGCTTTAGCTTAGCTTTAGCTTAGCTTTAGCTTAGCTTTAGCTTAGCTTTAGCTTAGCTGTAGCTTAGCTTCAGCTTAGCTTTAGCTTAGCTTTAGCTTAGCTTTAGCTTAGCTTTAGCTTAGCTTTAGCTTAGCTGTAGCTTAGCTGTAGCTTTGCTTTAGCTTTAGCTTAGCTTTAGCTTAGCTTTAGCTTAGCTTTAGCTTAGCTGTGGCTTAGCTGTGGCTTAGCTTTCGCTCAGTTTTCGCTCAGTTTTAGCTTAGCTTTAGCTTGGCTTTAGCTTGGCTTTAGCTTAGCTTCAGCTTAGCTTCAGCTTTGCTTCAGCTTTGCTTCAGCTTAGCTTCAGCTTAGCTTCAGCTTAGCTTCAGCTTAGCTTTAGCTTAGCTTTAGCTTAGCTTTAGCTTAGCTTTAGCTTAGCTTTAGCTTAGCTTTAGCTTAGCTTTAGCTCAGCTTTAGCTTAGCTTTAACTTAGCTTGAACTTAGCTTTAATTTAGCTTTAGCTTAGCTTTAGTTTAGCTTTAGCTTAGCTTTAGCTTAGCTTTAACTTAGCTTTAGCTTAGCTTCAGCTTAGCTTTAGCTTATCTTGAGCTTAGCTTCAGCTTATCTTTAGCTTAACTTTACTGTTACTACTAATGCTGCTTTCTTAGGGGCTCCAACTCCTAGGTAGGGTCGCACTGGGATAATTTTGTTTTTCCCTACCTAGGCTCTGCCTAGAAGGGTTCTTACTCTCTTAGCTTAAAGGGGCCGGGCAGTGCAAAGCGCCCCGGGCGGTTCCCCCCCTCCTCTGGGAGCGGTTCCCCCCAGTCCCCTGGGAGCTTTAGCTTTAGCTTTAGCTTTAGCTTTAGCTTAGCTTTAGCTTTAGCTTTAGCTTAGCTGTAGCTTAGCTTTAGCTTAGCGTTTCGCTTAGCTTTTCGCTTAGCGTTTAGCTTAGCTTTAGCTTAGCTTTAGCTTAGCTTTAGCTTAGCTTGAGCTTAGCTAGCTTAGCTTAGCTTTAGCTTAGCTTTAGCTTAGCTTTAGCTTAGCTTTAGCTTAGCTTTAGCTTAGCTTTAGCTTAGCTGTAGCTTATCTTTAGCTTAGCTGTTTCAGCTTTAGCTTAGCTTTAGCTTAGCTTCAGCTTAGCTTAGCTTTAGCTTAGCTTTAGCTTAGCTTTAGCTTAGCTTTAGCTTAGCTTTAGCTTAGCTTTAGCTTAGCTTTAGCTTAGCGTTACTGTTACTACTAATGCTGCTGTCCTAGGGGTTCCAACTCCTAGGTAGGGTCGCACTGGGATAATTTTGTTTTTGGAAGGTTTTTGTCGGAAGGTTTTTGGGAAGGTTTCTGGAACAACCTTCCAAAAACCCTCCCTCGCCCCCCCCCCGCCCCGCGGGAAAACCTTCAAAAAACCTCCCCCAAAAACCTTCATCACGAACACTCCAGAAGGGATTCGTCGGAACTCCCGCACCGGTCTCCCCCATTGGGTCTCAAAACGCATGAGGGTTGGGCCGAAATGAGGCGGCTGGGCCATGCGAGCCCTGGCAAGTTGGCATTAGCGGGGGCTCCCTACGTGGCCACGAAGCGTGTGAGGGGTGTGTCGAAACAAGGCGACGGGGCCATGCGGACCCTGGCGTTTGGGCTTTAGTTCGCTCTGGGGCCACGAAACGTGTGAGGGGTGTGCCGACATGGGAATGGGAGGGCAGAAGCAAGGAAGGGGGAAGGGAGGAGGGGGAGGAGGAGAGGAGGATGACGCTGGGCACTGTATCTTTTAAACGGGGACACAGCACCACAATATGGTTGGGAATACGTGATTTTTGCCTTCTCGCCGAGGCCATTTTGGACGCCCCAATCGGTCGCGACCCCACCCATCCTGTTCAGGCCCAAGGGTAGGGGTGAACCAAGAGGAAATCTGGAAGAGGAAAAGCTCTAAACCACTCACGCCAAGAGGGCTGGTGGGGTTTGCACGTTCGCGGCGCCGTTTCTGATCACGTTCTCAGGTCAGGGATCGGCCAGTGGCCCGCCCGACCGTTTCCTGTGGGTTTTCCCCGAGCAGTGCTTGCATTTAGGAGTTCTCATTTTTTCAAGCACTGGGCCCGTGTGCCGCCCCGGCCGGCTCGTCGTCGCCCCCTCGCCGCCCCGTCGCCGCTCGTCGCCGCCCGTCGCCGCCTCGTCGCGGGCTCGTGTGCCGCCCCGGCCGGCTCGTGGTCGCCCCGTCGCCGCCCCGTCGCCGCCCCGTCGCCGACACGTCGCCGCGCTCCACCACAGCCCGCACCGCATAGCTTGCACCGCAGAGATTGCGCCACGCAGCTTGGAGCGCGCAGCTCACATATCGAAAGTAGCTGACACCGCACAGCCTGCACAACGCAGCTTGCACCACAGATATTCCACTGCATAGCCTGCACTGTTTAGGTTGCATCACTTAGCTTACACCACGTAGATCACATTACATGGACTGCACTGCGCAGTTTGCATTACATAGCTCACACCCCATAGATCGGACCACATATTGAACCACATTGCTTACACCACCTAGATGGGTGCGCTGGTTCCACATTGCTTGCACCAAATAGCTTACACCAAATGGCTCACACCACGTATAGTGCAATGCGTAGATTGCACCCCTTGGATTGCGCTAGTAGCCTACACCACATAGATTGCACCACATGTATTGGACCACATAGATGGCACTACATAGCTCACACCCAACAGATCGCACCACATAGGTTGCACCACCTATCGTGCACCACCTACGGTGCACCACGTATATTGAATCTCTCAGTATGCTAGACATCACTCTTTGTGGTCCGCGCTGGCTAACACGTTTAATCTATTCCTTTAAATATTCCAAATGCTGGATGTCTGACGCCCACTTTCTTGGATGCCATTCCTAACACGTCTTGGTAGAGTCAAGAGCGAATAGCGAAAAGCGGGGCACAACTCCGAGCGGTTTGGAGAGCAACCAAGCCGCAGGCCACGGACCTCAACATGGTGCTGCTGAACATGGCAAGCGTCGACGTTGTGAAGGAGGCGTCGAAGGAGCTGAACACGCAGCTTGGCATCACGGGCGCCATCATCCTCGCGTTCGCCTGCGTGCTTGCCGTGATTTTGTCCCGGATGGTCTCTAAGCCCTTCTTGGCCGCTCGGGACAGCATGTTCTTGCTCGGGGACATGAGGGTGGAGGACGCGCTTCAGCGCAATACGGAGACCAAGAGGAGGTGCAGGTGGTCTTTCACCGAAGTCTCTGATCTGCGCCTGAGCTTCTTCCACGCAGCGACGTGCCTGCAGGCCTGGCGCGAGCACGAGGTGCAAAGGAGAGTGCAGCTTGAAGAGGAGCGCACGAACAGGATCCACAAAACCGTCGAGAAGGCTGTCCGTGGTGCGGGGCAGCTCGTTCACCCGATGGTCCTGATCAGCGCCGATGCGTTCTCCAAGCTGGAGCAGCTGACCAGCTACGAGGAGCTGCGGAACACGAGGAAGCTGGTGTTCCTGGACACGGAGGAGGCGCTCGCAACGTTCAAGGCGGACAACTCCATCATCTTCCTGTCCCACCAGTGGCTCGCGTGGGGGTTCCCAGACAACGCCACGAAGACGCACCTCAACGCCATGAAGAGCGCAATAAAGACCGCGTCGGCGCGCGTCGGCGCCCAGGGCGCGGGCACCCGGTGCTCCTGGGAGAAGACGTACGTCTGGGTGGACTACTGCTCCATCGCGCAGGACCGCCTGGAGGGTTTCTCCGAAGGGCTTAGGCGACCCGCCCTCCTCCTCCTCCCTCCTCCTCCTCCTCCTCCTCCTCCTCCTCCTCCTCCTCCCTCCTCCCTCCTCCTCCCCCTCTCTCTCCACCTCCTCGTCCCTCCACCTCCTCCTCCTCCTCCTCCTCCTCCTCCTCCTCCTCGGGTCGCCTACGGTCCCGGGGAGACCGTGCAGGACCACCGGGGCATGCAGATGCTGGCCGTCTCGTCCCTGCCCGTGTACTCGGCCAGCGCGGACATCTTCGTCATCATCGCGCCGCCTGCGGAGCACCAGAGCAGCCGCCGCTGCGACCTGCAGTCCTACAATGCGCGCGGCTGGTGCCGCGCGGAGATGCTGGCGAAGATCTGCAGCAGCGGCCTCGAGAACTTCTTCGTCTTCGCGTCCAGCGAGCTGGAGCCAGTGACAGAGGATCGGCTGCCGTCGCTCTCCATGTTTGTGTTCGAGGGCGAGTTCTCCTGCTGCCAGCAGAGGCACATCAAGTCCTCCTGCGACAAGGAGGCCCTGGTGGAGCCGGTGCTCGGGCTGTATTCGCTCGTGCTGCGCCAGATCCGTGCCAACGCCAACTGCAAGAACATGGAGCCGATCATGAGGCATATCCGCGACAACAAGGAGAGATTCTTCCCTACGCTGTACTCCTTCCAGGCCGAGGGCGCCGAAGCAGAGGAGCGGGAGCTCTTCGGGCCACTGGTGAGGGCGACCGAGGCGTACGTGGATGACCTGAGCCTTCCAGAGTGCGCTGTGTCGTTCGACTCGCTGCAGAAGCGTCGGCAGGGGAGCGCTCCGTCGGCTGCCACCACTGGCGATGGTCAGCTGGCCGTGTAGGCTCCGAGACGGGCAGCGCCCGCCCGGCGGCCAAGCGCCTGCGCGGGCTGCGGGGGCCGTCGGCGCAGCGCGCGCCGCGGCAGCGCCGGCTCGTCTGCGCCGCCGCGGTTCGGGCCAGGCTGCACGAGCCAGCCTGCCCGGATAGGAGTCGTCGGAGAGGGCGCGGGGGGGGGTCCTCCTCCTCCTCCTCCTCCTCCTCCTCCTCCTCCTCCTCCTCCTCCTCCTCCTCCTCCTCCTCCTCGCGCGGGGAGAGGTGCCCACACGAGGCGGTGCGCTGAAGGCCTTCTCCCCCCCGGAGCGGCGAGAGGCGGGCGCCTCCTCTTCGGCGGAGGGCCGGCGGAGGGGGCGGGGCGGCCCTCCGCAGGGCGGAGGCCGGAGAGGAAGGCTGGCGGAGGGGGGGCCCGGCTCTCCGAGGGGTGCGCGCGCTGTGTGGGATCCAGCGGGCGTCTTGAACCAGAGGAGGAGGAGGAGGAGGAGGAGGAGGAGGAGGAGGAGGAGGAGGAGGAGGAGGAGGAGGAGGAGGAGGAGGAGGAGGAGGAGGAGGAGGAGGAGGCCATGATTTGCACCCCCCCCCTCTTGGACACCCCCCTCTTGGCCGCTCCCGAATCCAGGGGGTGTCCTGAGCCAGCCACGTGTACACTCAGGGGAGCGGACGGTGCTCACACTGCCGCCACCCTGCCCTCGTCTCTTCCCCGTTCTGGGCCTCCCGGGGGGTCTTCTTCGCCACCGCCGGATTCGCCTCGAGACGCCGCTCCGCACCCCCCCCATTAGAGGTCCGGGGAGCAGCGGCAGGGGTACCGCTTGGTTTCCCCAGCACGCACGCCACCGAGCGACTGGAGGCCCCCCTTCGCCGTCTGTTCACGGTGTCCACGTCCACGGGCCTCCGCCTGGGAGGGGGAGAAGACGAGGGGCGGGCGCAGGAGTGGCGGGGAAGGGGGGAGGGAGGGGACCATCGCGCCACTGAGCCGCTGGAGGGGAGGAGGGGGGAGGGGAGATGGAGAGAGGAGAGGTGCGGGATGGGAGGATGAGAGGTCGAAGAATGAGGAGGAGAGGATGAGGAGGAGAGGCGCGGGATGGGAGGATGAGGATGATGAGCGCGGGATGGGAGGATGGGATTGGATGGGATGGGACAAGTTGCACAAGCATAAATATGGAGAGGTCCGCGCGTATATCTTGGATCGGCGCCAGGTGCGGCGCCAGGGTCGCGGTCAGGGGGGGCCGGCTCCGATCCGAGAAATCCGCGCGGACCTCCGAAAGTGTTTGGCAGCGCGTCTGGGGCCCCTCCCAAAGAGCGGTGCAACAACGGGTCCAGCACCGAGACCCTCACACACACAATCTTGTTTGACGAGGCCCGCCAGACCCCCCACCATTGTGGGCCTTGGGCATCTTCGGCCACGCGCAGAGGGGGTAGCTATGGGGGATGGGGGGAGGGCTTCTTAGGGGCACCCCTCCTTTTCAGAAGGCGCGGGCCTCCACCTCCAGAGGCAGGGCCGGCGCCTCCTGAGAAGGAGCCTGCCTCCGAGAGGCCCGCCCCCATCCCCCGTGCCCAGCGCCCCGTCTCTGCGCGCCGCCAGCGGCTTCCTGCGAAGGGAGGGAGGAGGGAGGAGGGAGGAGGGAGGGGGAGGGAGGGAGGGATGAGGGAGGGAGGAGGGAGGGGAGGAGGGAGGAGGGAGGAGGAGGGAGGAGGGCGGAGGGAGGAGGGAGGAGGAGGAGGAGAGGAGGGAGGAGGGAGGGAGGAGGAGGAGGAGGAGGAGGGAGGAGGGAGGAGGGGGGCACCACCCCCTGCGGGGGGCGGGGCATCTGGCGCCCTCGCCGGGGGCCGCGGCACGGACAGCAAGCTCCGACGCGCCCGACGGGGGGTAGGAGGCCGCTCCCTTGCGCGGGCTCGCGCACGCGTGGCCCACCAGTGGCACGCGCGCGCTCGGGCTGCATCATTCGGCGGCGCGCCCGGGGGGGGCGGGGGGGACGCAGAGGGCGGGCGGCGGGGGAGAGGGGCGGGCGGGGCGCGAGAGGTGCGGGGGGGGGGGAGGGCGAGTGGGGGGGCCTAGGGCGGGGCAAGGGCGAGGGGGCGGGGGCGAGAGGGCGAGGGGGGGGGGGGTGCGAGGAAGGGCGAGGGCGAGGAGGGCAAGGGGCAGGAGGCTCAAGGCTCGCGGCTTTCGCGCGCTCTTGTCGGGGGAGCGGGCAGCCATGATCATGATAGGTTCCAAGTTTCCCCACCTTTTCCTGGGCCCCACAGATTGCCTCTTGTTCCGCACGGGCTCCAGAAGCGAGGTCCGCTGGACACTCCGGAACTCATGGGACGTGTCCTGGCCAGTCGCATCACGAGATCGTTCTCGTCCTGCTTGGGGGCCCTTTCGCCCCTTCGGGGGATGCCCATACCTCCTGGCGGGTGGACTCTGTCGTCGATCCATGGGCATCAGGGCCCTCGAGACCCTCGGCCCCTTTCCCGCGGGCTCCCTCCGCGCCCCCGCCTCGCTTCCGAGGGCGCCTGGGCCCCGAGAGCGGGGCCCCCGGAGGCCGCGGCGAAGCAGCGGCAGGCGCTGAAGCGACAGGAGGCCAGCCAACCAGAGATTGGAGGAGGAGGGGGAGGAGGAGGAGGAGGAGGAGGAGGAGGAGGAGGAGGAGGAGGAGGAGGAGGAGGAGGAGGAGGAGGAGGAGGACGGGGCGTCCTCCTCGGGCGCCCGCAGAGGCCCCCTGGGGACGCCTGCGGAGCTCCCTGGGAGGCCCCCGGTTCCACAGGGGGCCCGCGCCGCACGCGGCGCACTCGAGAGCCTCTGGGTGGGGGCGGGGTGTGGGGGCCCAGAGGGGTGCCAGGGCTCGGCTGGATTCCTCCGTGTCGATTCGATTCGATTTCGACGGCTTCCGATTCCGGGTCGATTCGTTTTCGGATGCCGATCCGGCTTCCGACTCCCATGTCTCAGTGAAGCCCCCTTATAGCCTGCCGACGTCCGCCGAGCCGACTCCTCCCGACTCGGCCGCCGGCTTCCGCCGACCCGAGTCACTTCGGTCGCCGATCCGACTCGTCGCTTCGGTTCTGGGCTCTCCTGGGGGCGGAGGGTGCCGACAATTTCAATAGGGGAACAAAAAGTGACAGAAACATTAAAAACTCGGAGGTCCGCGCGGATTTCCCGGATCGGCGCGGACCTCTGAGTTTTTATGCTCATGCCACTTTTTGTTCCCCCAGACATGGGCGGCGCAGCCTTGCCGATGGAGGCGGGTGCGCCTCGCGGCGCGGTGCGCCCTCGTCGCCCGGGGCGGCCCACACGAGGCCGCCCCTTCAGTGGCCGTGCTCTTGAGCTGGCGGCCTGACCGCGCGCGGGCGGGGCTGGACCCCCAGCCTGAAACGAATCGGAGGGGTGGGGGCAGGAGGAGGAGGGGGAGGAAGAGGAGGGGGAGGAGGAGGAGGAGGAGGAGGGGGAGGAGGAAGAGGAGGAGGAGGAGGAGGAGGAGGAGGAGAGGCCGTCGTATTCTTGTCGAACACTGCGGGGGTTCCCCCCCGTGCACGCGGCCTTCAGAAGACCTGTCTGGTATTCCTTCATACCACATTAAGATGATTGGGCATCGGACGCCCACGATGGCGTCACCATCGTTCAGAACCCGTGCTCCAGGAATTGGGACCCAGGATCCGAGAGCCGCAAAATAAACCATGAAAAAATATGCCGTACAACATCGGCCATGCTAAATCAGTCATCGTAGGGCGGGCTCGCGTGTAGTTGCCCAGTGTTGCTCTGCACGGGCAGAACAGCGTCGGCCTGCCCCGTCGGGTTGGTTGTGGCAGGTCCTGAACCCGGACATGCGGTGCCTTGATTTTTTCGATGCGCGGCCCAGGGGGGTCCCGACCCTTTCTGGGCGGCCGGCTTCTATCCCGAGTTGTTTCTTCACGGCCACGGGGCCCGGCGAGAGGCCCGAGAGGCCCCGGGGGCCGAAAACGGCCAGAAACCTTCCGTCGTGAGCTTCTTCACGCCGTGCGCCTCGCGGGGTCGCCGGCGTCATCGTCGTCGTCGTCGTCGTCGTCGTCGTCGTCGTCGTCGTCGTCGTCGAACTCGTCGTGGTCGTCGTGGTCGTCGTGGTCGTCGTGGTCGTCGTGGTCGTCGTGGTCGTCGTGGTCGTCGTGGTCTTCGTCGTCGTCGTCGTCGTCGTCGTCGTCGTCGTCGGCGTCGTCGTCGGCGGCGTCGGCGTCGCCGCCGCCGCCGCCGCTGGGGCCGAGCCCCCTTCTTCGCGCGCGGCCCGCGAGGCGGCGGCCGCCCTCGCGGGCGACAGCGTCGTGGCGGACCCGCACCCCCCGGCCGCCGCGCGCCCCGAGCCCCGCGAGCGGGGGAGGGGCCGACCGCGCTGTGGGGCCGCGGTCGGCCAAGAGCTCCTCCTCCTCCTCCTCCTCCCCCTCCTGCTCCTCCTCCTCCTCCTCCTCCTCCCCCTCCTGCTCCTGCTCCTGCTCCTCCTCCTGCTCCTCCTCCTCCACCTCCTCCTCCCCCTCCTCCGGCGGGCGGGGGGGTGATGACAGTGGTCGGCGGCGAGCGAGGGGGCGAAATGAGAAGGAGAAGGCCTTCTCGGAAGGCGGCGGGACTTCTCAGAAACTCTCCGGCCTTCTGAGAAGTTTTCCATGTCCTCTGGGGGAGGCTTAGGGGACTTGTCAGAAGGCCGGGGGACTTCGAGCCTTTCGAGAAGGCCCGCTCCTTCTCACTTCCCCCCCAGGCTCGCCGCCGAAATGGGGTTCGGGCGGCGGAATCTACACATATCCACTGCTTCCTGGCCAGGCCCATCCTGAGCCCATGGGCCGTGTGCGCGCCCTCCTGGCCGAGCCACGAGGGCGTGGCGTATGCACCACTGCTGGGGTCAGGATGGGCCTGGCCAGGGAGCGCTGGGCACGTATATGCTTCGTTCAGCCCGGCGCCCGTTCGCTCGTTCCCCGTATTCTGCCCGCAGCAGCGGTCGAACAAAGTTTGATTATCGGCTGCGCTTCGCGCCTCCATGTCCCTTGACACGGGATTTCTCCAGAGGTT